GAGGATGGCCAGGCGCGCGGTGGCTCACGCCTGTAATCCCAGCAACTTTGGGAGGCAGAGGCAGGCAGATCACGAGGTCAGGAGATCAAGACATCCTGGCTAACACGGTGAAACCCATCTGCTAACTGAAAATAGCCGCAGTGGTGGCGGGCCACTGTAATCCCAGCTACTCCGGGAGGCTGAGCCAGGGAATGGGCGTGACACGCGGGAGGCGGGGCTTGCAGGGAGCCGAGATCGGCCGGCCACCCGCACCCCAGCCTGGGGCCGACAGAGCGAAACTGCCGTCTCAAAAAAAAAAAAAAAAAGAAGGACTCGAGAGGCGGCGGCCTAAGGGTTGTTTCCAGCTTCAGGCCGCAAAACCATCTTCCTCTCTTGGGCCCGAATGCTATACTGAAGAGGTGCACGTCTCCTGAGCCATAGGGTCCCACGTTGGCCGCACCAGGCCACCAGCGCCTCCAGCTGGTTGACACCTGAGGCGAGGGGTAATGTTGGGTGTCCAGAGTCGGGCCTCGGGCTGTGTGCCCCCCTCTAACCCGGGCTCCTACCCCCCTGCAAGAGTTGTAGCTGAGGCGCTCGTAGCGTTTTGGAGGCCGGCCGCTAGAAAAGTAACCGTCCAGAAACTGGTGGGGCCATCCGCTAGGGAAGAAGTCCGTCATGTTTCCACTGACATACAGCGGCAGGGGCATTGAGGGCAGGGGTCATGACCCATCCTCCCAAAGTGCTGGGATTACAGGCGTGAGCCACCGCGCCCGGCCATCCTCGAGTTCCTTCTTAAAGCCTCTAAGAACCCTGCCCGCCAGCACCGGACCTTTCGCTTCCCCTTGGGGTCTGAGCTGAGTCCCGCAGAACCTCACCGGACTCATTGTCTATGAGCAGATAAGGCGATGGCCGTGCTCCAGCATCACGACGCTGTCAGTGGCACCTCCCGCCAGCACGTGGCAGACGACTACGCACGCCAGCTTGCTGCAGGCTGGGGGTCTTGCGAGGTGCGCGGGGCGGGACTTGGGAGACATGGGGGTGGAGACAGGAAGGGGCGGGGCCGGGGCCTGGGAAAGAAGGGACAGGGACAGGTGTGACGTGTAACCGAGAGCGGTGTGGCGGGCTACAAGGGCTCGTGGGGGCGGGGCTTGTAGGAGGCAGGGAAAGATTCAGTAACGGGGCGGGGCCTTGGAGGGGAAAAGGAGGCGGGGCGTGGGCAAGAGGAGGCCGAGACAGCTATGGGGCATAGTCAAGGGCAGCAGGGCTGGGCTAGAAGGGCTTGTGGGGCGAGTCTTGAGGGAGGCGGGACACAGACCGGAACGGGGCGGAGCCGGAGAGGAGAGGGAAGGAGTCAGATAGGCCAGGCGTCCAGAACCCACTGGTCCCTTTGCGCTCTTCCGCAGGTTCTCCTGAGCAACGCGTTGGCGCGGCTCAGAGGCTTCAAAGATCACTTAACCTTCTGCCGACAGCTAAACATCAGCATCTGCCCGCTCAGCCAGACGGCGGCGCGCGTGAGCCGGGACAGGAGGGGTGGATCTTGGGCAGATGGGCTTTAGAGGAGGTAGTTGGAAAATGTTTTTGGAAGACTATACTGGAGTGAAATTACGTGGGCTGCGACGCTGGGTCAGGACAGAGACCAACGCATCTCGAGGGGGCTTGGCGTGATGGGCCGTGACCGTACCAGGACCACCCAGGGGCATTTCTGTGCAAAGTGGGTGGGTTTGGAGAAGGCCTGCTGTGACCCGTGCCCTCTCTGACCGCCCCCCCAGTTCCAGGTCATCGTTTATAATCCCCTGGGGCGGAAGGTGAATTGGATGGTACGGCTGCCGGTCAGCGAAGGCGTTTTCGTTGTGAAGGACCCCAATGGCAGGACAGTACCCAGCGATGTGAGCCCAGACAACGAATATTCCCCTGCTGGAACCCCTCCCACATGGGCATTTCCTCGTCGCCCTCGTGGATACCGCCTGCCTCTATGAATACCTCCCACTCATACATATCTCTTCCCCGCTCTTGTATCTTCTCCCTCTGCCCCTTAATATCAGTGTCCCCTTGGGAACATCTGCCTCCTGTGAGTGGTCCTCCCTTTTTTTTTTTGAGACAGAGTCTCGCTCTGTCACCCAGGCTAGAGTGCAGTGGCGCGATCTCGTCTCACTTCAGCCTCCGACTCCCGGGTTCAAGTGATTCTCATGCCTCAGCCTCCCGAGTAGCTGGGATTACAGGCATTCGCCACAACACCCGGCTAATTTTTGTATTTTTAGTAGAGACGAGGTTTCACCATGTTGGTCAGGGTGGTCTCGAACTCCTGACCTCATGATCTACCTGCCTCGGCCTCCCAAAGTGCTGGGATTACAGGCATGAGCCACCGTGCCTAGCTGGTCCCCCATTTTAATACCCCGCTCCCCCAGGAAAATTTATTGCTGTTTATGGACATCTCCTTCATTCCAGAAAACGTCCTACCGCAAACCTCTTCCTCTCCTGAGAACCTGCCTCGAGGGTTTCTTCCCCTACTTCCTCCTTCACTCCCCTACTTCACTCCTTCACTCCATAGTCTCTCCGCCCTCCCAGTGGGTTTTTTTCCACCTGGTGAATCTTCTCTGCAATCATTTCCTTGGAATCTGACTGTCCCCCACCACCACACACACCTCCATTTCCTTTCCCCATCTCAGGACTCTTTTCCTTCCTTGAGTTTCTTGTCTCCATGCATGTATGGCTTTCCGTGGGTACTCTTGACTCAGTTTCCCTCCTCCTTTATCCAAGGTGGTGGTATATCCCAGCTCAGACAGTCAGGCGCACCCTCCGGAGCTGCTGTTCTCAGCCTCACTGCCTGCCCTGGGCTTCAGCACCTATTCAGTAGCCCAGGTGCCTCATTGGAAGCCCCAGGCCCGCGCACCCCAGCCCATCCCCAGGAGATCCTGGTCCCCTGCTTTAACCATCGAAAATGAGGTGAGACCCCATTTCAATCCCCTTTCCTGTGACAAATTTGAAGTGTCATGGTAAGCTGTGTGGACTCTGGGTCAGCAGGTTCCTAGGCTCATGACCTCCTGTCACCACTCCAATCATTGTGTGTCCTTGAGCAAGTGACCTTTGTCGGAGCCTCAGTGTCCTTTCCTGGGATTGTTATGAGGACCCAGTGTGATCATGGGTGACACTTGACAGATAGGTCAGAGCTGGAGGCAGGTGGTGGTTTGCAGTTTTGGTGGGGACGTTTCAGGGAATGTGTTCCTGATAAAGGTGACATTTAAGATATGACCTGAGGGACGGAGTCATGTGGCTATTTGGAGGAAGAGAGATCCAGGTGGGGAGAGAATAACAGGCACAAAAGCCCTTAGGCAGGAGAGTGTGCAGCATCCCAGGAGCCACAAGGAACCCAGTGTGGCTGAAGCAGGGTGAACGGGTGACAGGTCAGACCTTGAGGGCCTTGAGGACCAAAAGGAAGACTTTGGCTTTTGCCAGTCATTGTTGCTCATGTGTCTAAGCCTAGCTCTTTGGGAGGCTGAAGCAGGAGGATCACTTGAGCCCAGGAGTTGTCCCAGCTAATTTGGAGGCCCAGATGGGAGGTTTGAGCTGGGGAGTTCGAGGTTGCAGTGAGCTGTGACTATCCCACTGTACTCCATCCTGGCAACAGAGCAAAACTGTGTCTGAAAAGAATAATAATAAAATAGGCCGGGCATGGTGGCTTATACCTGTAATTCTAGCACCGTGGGAGGCCGAGGTGAGTGGATCTACTGAGCTCAGGAGTTCGAGACCAGCTTGGGCAACATGGTGAAACCCAGGCTGTACAAAAAATATAAAAAATTAGCTGGGCATGGTGGTAATGTCTGTAATCCCAGCCACTTGGGGGCTGAGGGAGGAGGATTGCTTGAGCCCAGGTGGCAGAGGTTGTAGTGAGCCGAGATCATGCCACTGCACTCCAGCCTGGGTGACAAAGTGAGACCCTGTCTCAAAAAATAAAAAAAAAGTTTTGTAGTTGGACTGTTCATGTTAGGAAGAAAACATCTTTTTTATATTTTTATTAAAATGAAAGAAAAGAGGCTGGGCGCGGTGGCTCACGCCTATAATCCCAGCACTTTGGGAGGCCGAGGGGGGTGGATCACGAGGTCAGCAGATCGAGACCATCCTGGCGAACATGGTGAAACCCCGTCTCTACTAAAAATACAAAAAGATTAGCTGGGCGTGGTGGCAGGTGCCTGTAGTCCCAGCTACTTGGGAGGCTGAGGCAGGAAAATGTCGTGAACCTGAGAGGCGGAGCTTGCAGTGAGCCGAGATCGCGCCACTGTACTCCACAGCCTGGGCAACAGAGCCAGACCCCATCTGAAAAAAAAAAAAAACGGAAAGAAAAGAAGTTAAAACATTCCCACAGGCCTCTAAAAGTCTTGTGAGTTCTGGCATTGTGGTTCACACATCAGGTGCCCAAGCTGGCCCTGGTCTGCAGCAGAGGAGGGCTTTGATGGGACTTAGGGTATCACAGGTGTGCTCTGGCTGTTGTGGGAGAACAGATTGTAGGCAGCCAGTGTGGAAGTGCCGGCACCTGGAAGGGGTTGACTGCACTAGCTCTGGAAGGCCACGGATGTGGTAAGAGGTGGTGAGATTGAAAATAAGGTTGGGGTGGGCATGGTGGCTCATGCCTGTAATCCCAGGACTTTGGGAGGCTGAGGTGGGCAGGTCACCTGAGGTCAGGAGTTTGAGACCAGCCTGGCCAACATAGTGAAACCTTGTCTCTACCAAAAATACAAAAATTAGCTGGGCGTGGTGGTATATGTTTGTAGTCCCAGCTACTCTGGAGGGAGAGGCAGGAGAATCGTTTGAACCCAGGACGGGGAGGTTGCAGTGAGCCGAGATCATGCCACTGCACTCCAGCCTGGGGGACAGAGCAAGACTCTGTCTCAAAAACAAACAAAAAAGAGAAAATCAGGTTGAATGGCTGGGTATGGTGGGCTGCTTGAGCCCAGGGCTTGGAGACTAGCCCCAGGCAACACAGTGGGACCCCATCTCTAGAAAACAAATTTAATTTAATTTTTTTTTTTAATTTAGTAGAGATAGAGTTTCACTGTGTTGGCCAGGCTGGTATCAAACTCCTGACCTCAGGTTATCCACCCAACTCGGTCTCCCAAAGTTCTGGGATTACAGGAGTGAGCTACTGCGCTCGGCCCTAAAAAAATTTTAAATTGAAAAAAAAGGGGCCGGCGCGTTAGCTCATGCCTGTGATCCCAGCACTTTGGGAGGCTGAAGCAGGTGTATCACAAGGTCAGAAGTTCGAGACCAGCCTGGCCAATATGGTGAAACCCCGTCTCTAGTGAAAATACACAAATTAGCTAGGCATGGTGGCATGTGCCTGTAGTCCCAGCTATTCAGGAGGCTGAGGCAGGAGAATTGCTTGAACCCGGGAAGCAGAGGTTGCAGTGAGCCAAGATCACACCACTATACTCCAGCCTGGGCAATAGAGCAAGACTCAGTCTCAAAACAAAACAAAACAAAACAAAACCCAGGCCGGGTGCATTGGCTTATGCCTGTAATCCCAGCCCTTTGGGAGGCCAAGGCGGATGGATTACCTGAGGTCAGGAGTTCGAGACCAGCCTGACCAACATTGCGAAACCCCATCTCTACCAAAAATACAAAAATTAGCCAGGTGTGGTGGCTTGCGCCTGTAATCCCAGCCATCCAGGAGGATGAGGCAGGATAATTGCTGGAACCCAGGGGGCAGAGGCTGTAGTGAGCTGAGATTGCGCCACTGCACTGCAGCCTGGGCGACAGAGCAAGTCTCTGTCTTAAAAAAAAAAAAAATAAACAATCAGTGGGTGTGGGTGGCTTATGCTGTAATCCTATTACTTTGGAGAGGCCGAGGCAGGCAGATTCACTTGATGGTCAGGGGTTCGAGACCAGGCTGGCCAACATGGTGAAACCCTTCTCTTACTAAAAATCCAAAAATTAGCCGAGGAGGGTGGCGGGCGCCTGTAATCCCAGCTACTCAGGAAGCTGAGGCAGAGAATCACTTGAGGCCGGGAGGTGGGAGGTTGCAGTGAGCCAAGAAGTTTGTCACACTGTCTCTAGCCTGGGCGACGGAGTGAGACCAGTCTCAAAACAAAGAACAAAAAAAAACCAAATCACACACATACACAAACACACACAAACCCATCTGTGGACCCTTTTCTGCCTAGCACATCCGGGCAACGTTTGATCCTGACACAGGGCTGTTGATGAAGATTATGAACATGAATCAGCAACTCCTACTGCCTGTTCGCCAGACCTTCTTCTGGTAAGGGAAGATCTCCAGGCCTGAGGGTGGGGTGGTGATGCTCGGCTTGGAGCTAGGGCCCCTTACCTGACTCTCACCTCCCCCAACCCCAGGTACAACGCCAGTATAGGTGACAACGAAAGTGACCAGGCCTCAGGTGCCTACATCTTCAGACCCAACCAACAGAAACCACTGCCTGTGAGCCGCTGGGCTCAGATCCGCCTGGTGAAGGTCAGGGACTAGGAATGATGAGTGGGCAGTTGGGAATGGGGGAGTTAGGGAGCCCAGGAGGGTGGTGGGCCATGTGTAGTGTGAGGGTAGGGGAGGATTTACTTTTCCTTCAGATCAGTGGACTAAGACCCACAGATCAGCGGGGGGAATATTTGACGGTCCTCCCATAGAGTTGATATTCATGGCTGGTTGTATGAGAGTCTCCCTGTAGGACACATACAAAGTCATTCTCATCCGCTGTGGACATTTACATACTTAGTTTTAGAAATCGGGGGTGGGGCATTCCCACTTGGCCTGTGAATCAGGAGAGCCAAATATCACTGCTTGAAGAATTCACCAAAGTCTGTAGTAAGAGGAGCTTATATCTGGAGTGGATATTTGAGAGTCCACCCTTGGATTGATTGGGTTTGCGTGAGTCTCAGGGTGAATGCTTGTGGGTGCATCTGGCTAGGGACAGGAGTTTCCCAGGGCCTCTCATTGATGTTTGACTTTCATAGATGGCAAAACTCACATTTGTTCACATTCAAGAGCCTCGAATTTCATGTGAGTCCCTTTTAGATGAATGTCTGCATATCTGGGTCACTGTATTAGGATATAGTTGTGCCTGTTCTAACAGAGTTACCCAAATTAACTGTGAGTAGAATAAGATAGAAGATTCTTTTCTTCTAACAAACAGTCTGGCTGTTAGTCCAGAGAAGGTGGGGTAGTTCCATAATCACCCAGGACTTCCTCTTCTGTCTCATTGCTCTGCCTTCCCCAGTATTCAGTTTCCACCTCATGGTCCAAGATGGCTGCTAAAGCTTCAACCGCCACATCTGTATTTGAGTCAGTAGCAGAGTGACAGGGGCAAGGAACATTGCTGACACCACTTGGATCACTTTCTGTGGGGCAAACTGTGGTCACTCAGCTACTGATAGCCTCAGGGAAGACTTGACAATGTAGTCTTTATCCTAGGTAGCCATGTGCCACGCTAGAATCATATTCTCTGGGGCAATGGTGAACAGGAGGCATTTATGCCACACTCAAGAGTGATGTGGCAAGCCAGGTGCAATGGCTCATGCCTGTAATCCCAGCACATTGGGAGACTGAAGCAGGAGTTCAAGACCAGATGGGAGCATTTGCTGATCAGGTGCCTACATAGTGATGCCGTCTCAAAAAAAAAAAAAAAAAAAAAAAGCCGGGTGCGGTGGCTCATGCCTGTAATCCCACCACTTTGCAAGGCCAAGGCAGGCAGATCATCTGAGGTCAGGAGTTTCAGACAAGTCTAGCCAACATGGATAGAAACCCCATCTCTACTAAAAATACAAAAATCAGCCGGGGATGGTGGCAGGTGCCTGTAATCCCGCTACTTGGGATGCTGAGGCAGGAGAATTGCTTGAACCCAGGAGGCAGAGGTTGCAGTGAGCCGAGATCATGCCACTGCACTCTATCCTGGGCAACAGAGCAAAACTCTGTCTCAAAAGAAAAAAGAATTATGTGGCAGTGACTAAAGGTTGACCCTGATGTAGGCTTTAATGGGGTTTATGGCCAGGGTGAGGGGACATTTGTAGGACTCACCTCTGCTAAGGTACAGGCTGACACCCACCTCACCTGTGTGCCTGCAGACGCCCTTGGTGCAGGAGGTGCACCAGAACTTCTCAGCCTGGTGTTCCCAGGTGGTTCGCTTGTACCCAGGACAGCGGCACCTGGAGTTGGAGTGGTCGGTGGGGCCGATACCTGTGGGGTGAGTGGCACAGGCTGGGAGAGGGGTGTGGAAGCAAGGGCAGAGTGGGGTTTATCCAAGGCTCACAACCTTGCCATCCCATTGGATACAGTGACACCTGGGGGAAGGAGGTCATCAGCCGTTTTGACACACCGCTGGAGACAAAGGGACGCTTCTACACAGACAGCAATGGCCGGGAGATCCTGGAGAGGAGGTAGAGGGTGACTGAGAGCACTGAGGGGGTCGTTAGTGGTGTGTTGGGGCCCAGGGGTGGTGGGGGAATTTGCTGATTACATGAGCATGGGAGACAGAGGATGAAGGGAGAGTGAAGAGTGGGGGAGCCAGGCCGGGCGTGGTGGCTCATGCCTGTAATCCCAACACTTTGGGAGGCTAAGGTGGGCGGATAACGAGGTCAGGAGATCCAGACCATCCTGGCTAACACGGTGAAACCCCATCTCTACTAAAAATACAAAAAGTTAGCCGGGTGTGGTGGTGGGTGCCTGTAGTCCCAGCTACTCGAGAGGCTGAGGCAGGAGAATGGCGTGAACCCGGGAGGCGGAGCTTGCAGTGAGCCGAGATCACGCCACTGCAGTCCAGCCTGGGCAACAGAGCGAGACTCCATCTCAAAAATAATAATAGGGCCGGGCGCGGTGGCTCAAGCCTGTAATCCCAGCACTTTGGGAGGCCGAGACGGGTGGATCACGAGGTCAGGAGATCGAGACCATCCTGGCTAACCCGGTGAAACCTCGTCTCTACTAAAAAAAATACAAAAAACTAGCCGGGCGAGATGGGGGGCGCCTGTAGTCCCAGCAACTCAGGAGGCTGAGGCAGGAGAATGGCGTAAACCTGGGAGGCGGAGCTTGCAGTGAGCTGAGATCCGGCCACTGCACTCCAGCCTGGGCCACAGAGCCAGACTCCGTCTCAAAAAAAAAAAATAAATAATAATAATAATAATATAAAAAAGAGCGGGGGAGCCAGACCCCAAGCCTGACCAGCTCACCCCCAACCGCAGGCGGGATTATCGACCCACCTGGAAACTGAACCAGACGGAGCCTGTGGCAGGAAACTACTATCCAGTCAACACCCGGATTTACATTACGGTAGCTATCGCCCACCCTGCACCTCCCCACCTCGATAGAAAGGGAATCACCCCTTATCTGCAGCATCTCAAGGCTGCCTGGGGTTGGGGTTGACTGCCCTCCACTCTCACCCTTCAACCCCCAGGATGGAAACATGCAGCTGACTGTGCTGACTGACCGCTCCCAGGGGGGAAGCAGCCTGAGAGATGGCTCGCTGGAGCTCATGGTGAGTGGGTCAGAGCCCCATCCGAGCCAGGGTCCTCCCAACCTGGCCCCCTGCTGGACTTTGAAGGCTGTTTCTGGCCCAGTTCTCTGCTTTCAGGCCCCACTAAGCTGAGGACTCCGTTTCTTTCTTTTCTTTTCTTTTTTTCTTTTCTTTTCTTTGAGATGGAGTTTTGCTCTTGTTGTCCAAACTGGAGTGCAATGGTGCTATCTCAGCTCACTGCAACCTCTGCCTCCCAGGTTCAAGCGATTCTCCTGCCTCAGCCTTCCGAGTAGCTGGGATTACAGGCACACACCATCACGCCTGGCTAATTTTGATATTTTTAATAGAGATGGGGTTTCACCATGTTGGCCAGGCTGGTCTGGAACTCCTGACGTCAGGTGATCCACCCACCTTGGCCTTCCAAAGTGCTGGGATTACAGGCGTGAACCACCGCACCCGGCCGAGGACTCCATTTCTATGTGCGACGTTTCCTCTCCGTTTTTCTCCATTTCCTACCCAGGCTCCCTCCAGGCTCTGACATGCCATATCCAGGCCCCCCTGTTAGGCACTTACCTTCCTCCGGCCTGGTTCCCATGCCTACTTGGATCCTGCCTCTGCTGGGGTTGCCCTACCAGACCCTCACCTCATCATCTGTTCCTCCCACCCTTTAATTTCTCTTGACATTCCCACACGCCCTTACCCAGTTTCTGGCCCAAGGACACCCACAAACCCACGACTCTCACCCCCTCCTGGCCACTCTCCCCCCAGGTGCACCGAAGGCTGCTGAAGGACGATGAACGCGGAGTATCAGAGCCACTAATGGAGAACGGGTCGGGGGCGTGGGTGCGAGGGCGCCACCTGGTGCTGCTGGACACAGCCCAGGCTGCAGCTGCTGGGCACCGACTCCTGGCCGAGCAGGAGGTCCTGGCCCCGCAGGTGGTGCTGGCCCCGGGTGGCGGCGCCGCTTACAATCTCGGGGCTCCTCCGCGCACGCAGGTGAGGGGCAGCGGGGTGTGCAGAGAGGACCGGAATGAAGTCTACCAGGGAGCCGGGTTTGGTTGCAAATTTTCCTAATTAGCCCCAAACCCTCGGGCCAGCCCCATCCCCTGGACAGTCCCCGCCCAGTGCCCGCCCCTCCCAACCCGCCTGGACTGTGTAGAGGCACAGCTGTAGCTCAGGCCCCTAAACCACCTCCTCACCTCCGGCCCCGTCCATTCACTTTAACCCCGCTCCCGCCCTCACCTTCTCACCTCCCCCAGGCTCTGTCCCGCCTCACCCCGCCCTGCGGCTTCAGCCCCGCCATAACTCCCAGAGTCTCAAGTCACATCAGTTCTACTCCGTCGGAACTCGAACCCTAAGCTTAGGACCGACCCATCTCGCCATTGGCTCAGCCCTCCCTGTCACGGCCCTGGCCTCTCCTCTCGGCTGAGCCTGCCCCTCTCCGGCGAAACCCCGCCCCTACAACCTAGCCCTGCCTCCTGACCTGGCTCGGCCCCGCCCTTCTCCATCCAGGCCCCGCCCCCTCTAACTGAGCCCCGCCATCTCTCCCGCAGTTCTCCGGGTTGCGCAGGGAGCTGCCGCCCTCGGTGCACCTGCTCACGCTGGCTAGCTGGGGCCCCGAGATGGTGCTGTTGCGCTTGGAGCACCAGTTTGCCGTGGGAGAGGATTCCGGACGTAACCTGAGCGCCCCCGTTACCTTGAACTTGAGGGTGAGAAGGGCAGAATTGAGAAGGAGATCGGAGAGAGGCAAGAAAGAGGGAGAGAAGGGAAACCTGGCTTTGCTCCAACTCATCTGGGCCCATCCCCTTCCCCGCAGGACCTGTTCTCCACCTTCACCATCACCCGCCTGCAGGAGACCACGCTGGTGGCCAACCAGCTCCGTGAGGCAGCCTCCAGGCTCAAGTGGGCAACAAACACAGGTGGGACCCTGCTCAGGGGTAGGGAAGGGGTGGAGTCTTACCTGGGGCCGGCAGGTGGGGGCAATGTGTGAGGCATGGGATGTTGGCCAGGACCCAAACGGGTCATGAGGGTATGGGGGCAGAGTCCAGATCCAGGTTAGGGCTTAACGGATCTGAAATGGGTACGGCAAACTGGGAATGGGTCTTGAGGTTTGTGGGTGGTGTTTATTCCCTAAAACAAGATTTGAAAATCCCCATTCGTGTCTAGTTCTGGGAGGGTGTCCATCACCCCTGGGGTCAGATTGAGGGTATGAGGACACTGGACCTGGGAGTGTGTTCAGGGCTGGGGAAGCAGGTTAGGAGTCTGGGATTGAGGCCCTGGAGACAGATTCGGGGATGTGCCGCTGTGTCCAGAACTAGGGGAGGAAGCATAGTGGGGTAAGTCAGAGGAAGTCTGCACCCCCTCACTCCTCCTTTCCCCACACCTCTCCAGGCCCCACACCCCACCAAACTCCCTACCAGCTGGACCCGGCCAACATCACGCTGGAACCCATGGAAATCCGCACTTTCCTGGCCTCAGTTCAGTGGAAGGAGGTGGATGGTTAGGTCTGCTGGGATGGCCCCTCCAAGCCCAAGCCCCCTGCTCTGGGGGCAGAGCAGACTCTCACTCTCCTCTTGGGGCTGCTGCCATTAAAATGCTACTACTAAGACTCAGGTCACTCTGTGACTGAGTGTGGGTTTTTTTTGTTTGTTTGTTATTTGCTTGTTGGAGGGGGACAGAATTTATAACCCACAGCCAGGTGTGGTGGCTTGCTCTTATAATCCTAACAACTCTGGAGACTGAGGAGGGAGAATCACTTGAGCCCAGGAGATCTAGACTAGCCTGGGCCACAAAATGAGGCCCTGTCTGTACAAAAAATTTAAAAAATCAGCCGAGTGTGGTGACAGGTGTCTGTATTCCCAACTACTTGGGAGAATTGCTTGAGCACAGGAGGTCAAGGCTGCAGTAAGTGATAATCACACCGCTGCACTCCAGCCTGGGGAAGAGAGCCAGATCCTATCTCTGTGTGTGTGTGTGGTGGCGGGGGTGGGGGACGGAGTCTTTCTCTGTTGCCTAGGCCGGAGTGCAGTGGCCCGATCTTGGCTCACTGCAACCTCTGCCTCCCGGGTTCTAGCGATTCTCTTGCCTCAGCCTTACAAGTAGCTGGGACTACAGGTGCCCCCCACCATGCCTGGCTCCTTTTTGTAATTTTAGTAGAGATGGGGTTTCACCATGTTGGCCAGGCTGACCTCAAACTCCTGACCTCAAGTGATCTGCCTGCCTCGGCCTCCCAAAGTGCTGGGATTACAGGCATGAGCCACCACGACCAGCCTGGATCCTATCTCTTGAAAAAAAAATTAAAAATTAGAAAATTATCCACGTAGGATGGCATGCAGTTATAATCCCCAGCTACTACTTGGGAGGCTGAGGTGGAAGGATTGCTTGAGCCCAGAAGTTTGAGGCTGCAGTGACCCATGATGGCTCCACTGCACTCCAGCCTGCGTGATAGAGTGGATCCTGTCTCTAGAAAAAAAAAAAAAAAAAGGTAGGCAGGGTGCGGTGGCTCACACCTGTAATCTCAGCACTTTGGGAGGCCAAGTCATGTGGATCACAAGGTCAAGAGATCAAGACCATCCTGGCCAACATGGTAAAACCCTTTCTCTACTAAAAATTCAAAAATTAGCCGGGCATGATGGCGCTCACCTGTAGTCCCAGCTACTCAGGAGGCTGAGGCAGGAGAATCACTTGAATCCAGGAGGCAGAGATTGCAGTGAGGCGAGATTGTGCTACTGCACTCCAGCCTGGTGACAGAACGAGACTCACGTCTCAAAAAAATAAATAAATAAAAATAAAAAGTTCTTAAGTGTTCTAGGGGTCAGTTTGCAAGCACCAACAGCATATGTTTCTTAGGCCCCCTCTGATGACAAGGACTGGCCCAGGGTGGTCAGGGAAGCCCAGTGAGGGTGGTATCATGTTGGTCCTCTAATGTTTCCTCTGAGAACCCCTCCAATGGGCCAGTTAGCATGGGCCACCTAGGGATGCCAGGGTGGGATGGCAGGGGACACTCTTCTGTGGTCCCACTTGGGGCATGGTCACCAGATGTGTGCTTTTCAAGTTTCCTTCTTGACAGAGGGCTGGGCCAGCTTGTGAGGCCTAAAAAGGGCTCCCTGCACCCATCTGCCATATTGGACCTGTTACTGGAGGTATCACCCCCACCAAAAGTATTTCTAAGTCCCCCTCCTATGGTAGTGACTGGCCTGGGTTGAGTAAGGACTGTGGAGTACTTTCCAGGCTCAGCCCTGGTCCCACATGCGTCCCTGTTTTAACATGTGACCTCCCGCCCCAAACTTTTATAAGTCCCCCTCCAGGAAGAGAGATTGGACCTGGCCAACGAGAGGCCTGGAGAGGGTGACCTGAGTTTGCCCACAGCCCCGTGTGGGCTCCTTCATAGGAGGCTCTGAGTGCAAAGATTCCTGTGTCCCAGCCAGTGGTAGGGACTGGTCGCAACCAAATACAGAGGCCAGCAGAAGGACCACAGGTGAGCTGCCATCCTGCAGAGGCCTCTGACTGTGGGATGTGCCTCCAGGAAATATTTGTAGGTCCTTGGGGATGGGGTGGGGATAAGGAAACAGCTTAGGTGAGCTAGGAACCCTACAGCAGAGCACCCCAGGCCTAGTTTTGGTCACATGTGGGGCCTGGTTCCTGGATATGCTCCTTGAAAATTTGTCTAAGTCACCCTCTAAAGACAGGGATTACAGGTGAGCCAGAGAGGCCGTGAAGGGCACCCTGACATAGTTGTCCTGCTCCATAGAGTCTGGCCACAGGATGAATCCCCTGAAAACTTTAAAAAGTCTCCTTCTGATTGAGACCATCCTGGCTAACACGGTGAAACCCCATCTCTACTAAAAATACAAAAAAATTAGCTGGGCGTGGTAGCGGGTGCCTGTAGTCCCAGCTACTATGGAGGCTGAGGCAGGAGAATTGAAGTGATCAGGCCAGGCTTGGCCTCCCCAAGGCTGAGTTACAGACTGTGAGCTCCTGTGCCTGGGCCCTAGAAGGAGACTTTTTTTTTTTTTTTTCCTAAGACAGAGTCTCGCTCTGTCGACCGGTGGAGTGCAGTGACAGCAATCTGGCTCAATGCAACCTCCCCTGTCCCCACGGTCTCCATA